TTTGGGGAAAGATTAAGTGAGATTGTACATGGAAAGCATGATGCCAGGCACACAGACAGTACTTGTTAAGTGGCCCTGATTCTGCTGCTCACAGTGGCCGTAGTAACAGTGATGCTGGTGGGGGGTTGATGGTGGTGGTGATAATGGTGGTGGAGGTGCAGATGGTTCACGGTGGTAGTGGTGATGGTGATGATGGTGTTGTTGACAGTGGAGGCAGTGGGGAGGGAAGTCAATGTGGTGATGTTCATAATTATGAAAACGTTGATCATACTGCTGGGATCTTAGCATCCGAACATACAGACAGTAAGCATTCCATAATAAAGAGTGAATTCAGAAACCTTTGAGATATTTTTCACCAAATGGACAAAGATGGCACCTATATCAATTAGATCAACTGAGAAGAAAGACTTAAAAATTTTAAGCCATAAAAATCAGTGCTATAACTTAAGGTGGAAAATGTGAACTATTAGAAAAGAAAGAAAACAAGATAAAGAAAATGGCCCAAAATAAATTATTTGCAGGGGGGAAAGGATGCAAATGAGATTCAGTTGCTGTTATTCCGGCTTCTCTCTGCAGACGGACATGCTGTGTCCCCAGCACTGGCAGCCCCAGGTGCCCAAACCGAGCATTTTGGAGATGTCCCCTCTGATGTGACGCCTTCACGAAAGGCATTGCTGCTCAGTTTGTCTGGCCCAGGGAGAGGTCAGGATGCAAAAGTTTGCATTGTTTTAAATCAGGATTCTTTATAAAGTTTAACAGTATTAAGGTCATCATCTGAGTTGAGTATAGATGCTAAACGTTATTTGCCACACTTGATAGTAATCCCATTCTTTCATTCTTTTCCTTCTCTTTCCGCAATAAAGTTTAAGTTTCTTAGGCCTGTTTTTTGTTTCCTCTCGTTGCTAACAACAGATGCAATTTCAGTGCTGAGTGCGGAACAACAGCAGGTCCTCCCTGATGAAAGAAATCTCCAAAATGTGAGCTGCAGGAAAGACAACATTATGCCATATCATAAAGCTAATTCCCATGAGGCAGCAAATTGGAAAGAGTCACGAAATTACTAACTTACTCTCGTGTTTGGAGAGATGACTAAGGTATAAATGCATAGCCTGCAGACCATCCTTGGTCTCCAAAGACTCTTAAAATTTAAGTCTGCAACTCTGATTGGCTGTCTTATTTATTTCTCTGGGGGAAAAATATTGTTTCCTTGAACATGTCCGTATTCCTAAAGGCTCAAATGCTCCTAAGACATCTTGGTCTTCCAAAGAGAAGAGGGTCCTTGGAACTTCCGTTTTCAACAACATGCAAGAAGGCAGGATAAATTCCAAAGCATCTTTGGATTCTTTATTAATCTGAGGAGTTTGGGAGTCTCTGGACTGAGTGGATTCACAACAGCTCTAGTGATGATCACATATTTGTAACCCCAAATATTCATCAAGAATATTAGAATTTTGTGTGAAGCAAGAACAAACAACAAAAAATTCGATCAGGAATCCAAAACAGAGACTCAAGACTTACAGGTTGCCCTCTTGGTCCTTGTTGACCCAGTGGTCCTCTTTCTCCTGGAACACCACGTTCTCCCTTGTATGATGAAAGGTAAACACAAAATTAATTTTCTGCTGTGAGTTCATGCAATGTTATGTCATTTTCCTTGGATATGTTGCAGTCACTCTTTTCAAGTCCTATTGGCATCATCCTACAGTCTAAGGTCAGTATCTTCCTCTAGACTTTGTTAAATATGGGTAACTAGCAAATCTAGGAAAGATTTTGGTGCTGAAAATTAGCAAGCCCAGGTACGCAGTGCCAGTTACAAAATTTCACATTAACATGGCTTTCTCTAGGGGTGCGTATATGACTCTATATTTGAGTCCTTATGTTTATCTATCTATTGATGTGTCCTTGTCTACTAATCTATGTAACCCTCTATCTGTCCATCTTTCTGTATGTCTTGTCTATACATCTTCCCTTGTCTATATCCGCCTATCCAGCTGTGAGGTAATGGACAGTCAGTATCGTTACCAATGACATCAGACACTCATGCCAGAAATGATCTCATAATTCATAGAAGAGACCCCAAGCTGCAGTCAAGGTAAGGTGTGTTTTCTGACACTTACCTTCATTCCTCTTGGTCCGTCTTTTCCTTTGGAACCATTAGGCCCTGGAAGCCCAGCATTCCCCTGTAATGACACCACAACCCAAATTATCTGTAATGTTTTAGACAATTAATTTCATCTTCCAAAGTGCATCATACACACATGTAGCCTCTGAGCTGGGGGCTTGGGGCAGAGGAGCAGTGTGTTCTGTGCAAGAAGTCACCTCTCCCACATATCAAGAACGGGAGGGAGGATCTGGCTACCAGAGGGGAAGAACACCATCTGGTTAAGAGATTAGGAAGACAAATGCCTGGACTTTTAGTCACTCTGAATTAAAAATACGATCAAATGAGAATGAAAACAGTACCATCGGTTATGAGGCTAGATGTTTCCCGAACAAGAGAGAGGTGGCTCAGGCCTTCTTGGAGCGGCTGTTTGAGCCTCCAGGTACTCTAACCCCTGACTTACATCATTCTGCTCAGGTGTTTCAAGCTCTCTCAAATACTCCTTCTGTAGGAAGCCGCGCCTCATCGCCTGCCTCAATCTGATCTGACCCTTCCACAAGCCCTGGGAGACCGAGTGGGCGAGGCTCTCATCAGGCTCCAGAAAGAAAGACCCGAGTTGGAGGCCAAGTCCAGCCACTTAAACGATCCAGATGAAAAGTCATTTCATCTCTTTGAGCCTCAGTTTCCTCATCTCTATAAAAGTAGGGTGATTTCAAATAATGCTTCCTTATATGATTGTGAGGAAGATGTTAGTCATTTACGCCCCTTTACACTACTGTTTTTCTCTTGCACTCTACATAAGGATAAGCCTGTGTCACACACCTTTGAGCCTCAAGCCCAATATCATTAGTCAGTGTATCCCCCAAACACCTAGAGTAGAAGGGGTACGGAGCTGGTGATCAAGGGCTACTTCCTTGAAACAGCTCTTTCTAGAAATTCCTGATGCCCACAGATCCCAGAACAAATGGGGTAGCCTTATGTTGTTTGCCCAGGAACACACAGGTGCATGAACCGGCCCTTGGTAATGAGCAGCTATGTTGTAGCTGTCAGTCTCTCAAACCTACCTGAGCACCCGGTGAGCCTTTTTCTCCCAAAGTTCCTGGTGGTCCTTGCCTTCCTCTTGGCCCCTGGTCCACAGATGAAATTTAAATTCAACCAATTTTTATTGAGCTTTCTTTTCCATGTACCCACAAGACCATCTTGGATGCTGATGGAGGCACAAGTGAAGGTGCTCTGAACCTCCATGATCTCATTCATCACACTTGAATCAAGCAGCCTCATCACCCTGAAGCACCCACTCCCTCCAAACTCCCTCCATCAGGATGCGAGTCCTCAGTATCTATATTTTTAACCTCCTCTCCAGCTGAATCTGACAAACACTAACAATTGCTTCTGTGTTTTAATTCACCCAACTAATTTTAAATCCTAAAAGGGGAATGAGAAGAGCTGTCAGGAAATTGATCTCCTTTGAAAAAATCAACCTTTTCTTTCTCCACATAAAGGCTAAGGACAAGCGTTCACATTCAGATGTTATCAAGAGCCCAAACACATGGAAAAGTGGGCTAAGCTCACTGTGCACCTTGCTAGGGGGTGTTCATTTTCTCCCCGATCTATTTTACTTTACTTACTTTACTAATTTTTTCTGCCACTTTAGATTTTCTCCCACTTTTCTGAGAGATGCTTTCCTCTGTGAAGGAAATCGACCGGGCTTCTCCATCCCTGAGTGAGGTTTTTTAATCACCATCCCATACCATCCACAGTGGGAAGGTGAGAATCCAGGGGAGCTTTTACCGATTATTTCGTCATGGTTCATGACATGACTTACTCTCCTGTGTTCAGCCATACAATAAAGTGAACCCAAAGGAGAAGCCCAGGACACAACAGTGGTGGGGGGTCCACAGTTGAATTTGAATTGAGCCAGTGTTCAAGAGGAAAGCGCTAAGTATCTCTCAGCTCTTTCCCTCTAGGTTGTGGACGCTATTTTCTACCATAAAATAAATACAATCACATCTCTAATTACACTCTGATTTGACCCAGCTCTTTCTTCAGTACCTTTGTCAAGTGCCAAAGCAGCAGAAGCTTTCTTAAATGACCATCTGACACTCACAGGATTTTTAAAGTTATGAAGAATGATTCAATGCATTAGTAAAATTTGTTGTTGCAAAGTTTTTCCTTTTAAGGGTACTTGGAAATAATGTGGTTAATAAAAAAATGCAGAAATTGTCCCAGAATGGTTTACAGAATGACAGATTTGGGTTATGCTTAGGAGATTTCAAAGGAACTGGTTGGAAGTTTAATTTCTGGTTATCACTCCATAGTTTACAAGGCCCCAATGGACTGAATCCTTCAGGGTGAGACCCTGGCCTTCATTGTCTAAATGACCCAGCCTGTTTGCAAAGTGCCCTGTGTATACTGGCTACTCAGTAAATACTCTGCTGATTTTTCCTGCCAAATTGATCCCAATTTTAAAGAATTAAATCCTATTTGAGTAATTTGCACTCACAGCTTCAGAGGCAGTAATTCAGAGCACAGGCTTCATAACTAGACTGCCTGTGCCTGGACCTGGCCTCCATCACTTCCTAGCTGTGCGAGCTTGGCCAGTTTACCTCACTTCTCCAGCCCACCCCCCTCCCCCACCATTTCTCCCCTCTAAAACGAGGATGATAAAACCTCCCCACTGAAGGCTTAAATGAGCTAAAACAAGTGCCTAGGGCCGTACCTAGGACACAACAAAAGCTCAATAAATATTAGCCATCAGGGTTTAACCTCCCCAGAAAAGATGCTACATATTTTGCTTAGGGAAGCCCTGGCAGGGAGCATTGAAGAACATTCCAATACATGTTAAATTTCTATCAGAGAAGGTAAAATTTTAAACGAATATTGCTGAGCACTAAAAGTAAGTTCACTGATACAACCTGTAAGCCTGGATGGCCAAGCTCTCCTGGGTAACCTTGTTCTCCAGATTCTCCATGCATACCCTGTAGAAAGGAAGAAAACTCAATGAGTTCTCCAGGCATCTTCAGTGTTCCTGTTGAAGGCAGCCTTCCCTGCAAGAGGTCACTTGAAAGCCACAAGAGAAAGGCAAAATGATCTGAAGGTCTGCACTCAGTCCTCTTAGGACACAGAATCAGGGAGGAGGTGGGGGAGGGGGTCCCACTTATTTGCTTAGGAAATTCTTACTGTCTTTCCAGTCTCCTTCCAAACAGCTAGTTGTTTAAATATAAAAGCACTGTGTTTAAATGACCCAAACTCCCAATTTACATTATAACAATTCCTAAAAGCCCATCCATCCCTTTTAAGGGCTAGATGGTCCCTGGTGTTATGGGCCTTTAACCCCTGTGAGGAAACTCAGAATGTCGAGCACAGCAGCAAGTGTGGCATTTCGGGACAAAGGCACACACAGCACACAAAGAAATAGCAGAAAACTGGCTTTAAAACCCTGCAGATTCTTACAGCACTGAGCTAGCTCTCTAGGCACAGGGTGAGCTATTAAAATAATTCATCTGGTAACTGATTTAATTCCTCCCTCAAATTAATATTCCCATTTCTACAGAGAAGATACATATTCCAAGATTGAGGATAGTACCCGTTTTGTGACCAGTGCTGCCTTCTTTTTCACACTGCTCACTGTTGACCGGGTTACTGATTAGTCATAGATTTGCAAAGACAAGAAACCCTAAGCTCAGAAGGAATCAATATGTGGATCAATGACTTGTGCTTCTTAAGTTTTTTAAACCATTCAGATAAATGGGAAGCTCTTCTACTAATCATTCCTGTTAAATTGTTCTATTCTTCAAGAGTTGATTTCTAGATTTGTAAGTGTGAGTCACGTTTTAAAAGGCATGTAGCTAGACATTTTCAAATTGTTTGGAAGATGTGGGCCAATTTGCTCATCACATTAGTGACATTTGTAGTACAACAGATTGGAAAATGATGCGGCTCTGTACAGCAAAGGCCAGACTCTTTCACATTTATACTAGGGAAATCATTACAGCAAAGAAAAGCAAGAACAAAACAAAAGCCCTGTAATACAGCTTTTTCTTTTCATCACTGTCATATTTAAACAAATAGAAATTATCTAAATGTTCAACATTAGAATGGTTTAATAAATCACTGTTCTTCAACAGAGTAGGATATAATGCATTAAAGTGATACTAGTAAGATTTGGAAACATAGAAAAGCAGAATATAAACTAGTATATACATTAAAAACAGCTCTTTATTATGTATGCAAATAAAAGAAACATACAAACAGGAAAATAATTGCAGGAGGGCGGTGGGTTTGTGCACATTTAAAAAATTAATGTTATTCTTAATTTTATCTTAAGTAACAAATAGTTTTCCCTTATTGCCAAATAATCTGTGCATTGATTTGTTTGCCATAGTACAATTCTTTCCATAAATAAAATCTTATTTAAAATTTCATTTTATTATGCACCTTGCAAAAGCCAGCACATCTAACTTATACCCAATAATGAACCATATTTTCCCAAGGTCAAGGGATACTGTAATCTGGAGTTCAGCACCTCTTTAAGCCACATTTTCCCAATAATACTGACTGATCTTTAGCAAGTTACAGCCTCAAAACATAAATGAGTCCTATGACCATGGCTCCAACACTGGGTTAACTAGCAAACCACTGACTTGTTCACTCTGGAACCTGCAAGTCGTTATAAATTTTCCTCTTATTAAAAACTCAAACTTGAATAGAAACAACAACAAACAACTACAATGATTCTTGAAAAGAGCAAAAAGTACAGGGATTCG